ACGTGCCCCCAGAATCACGCTGCTTTGTCACAGCGAGAAAAACCCAACTAATCACACTCGACCCGGCGCAGTCCCTCGCCGCCTGGCAAGTACTTTGAGTCGGTCAAGACCTATTCATTCACGCAGACCGACAAGGCTCTCAGGCACCACATCAACTTCACCCTCGATCAACCCTACTTCCTGCGGGCCATCATCTCCTATGATTTCCTGTGGAACAACCTCAACCTTCGTCTGCGTCATGTGAACCCCTCGGCAACGACTGGTACCACTCGCGTTCACTCTCCTTCGTTGTTTGTTCGGGCCATCTGCTGATCACTTTCATCGACCCTGTGCAGGCAACCTCTTGGCTTATGGCAAGACAGCCTACAACAGGAACGATATCGACGTCGTGCAGCTCAACGAGGGCCAGTACGTTCTGGAGGTCTACGAGCCCTCGCTTCTGAACAACGCCAACGCTCGCGGCTGCGTCAAGTTTGACCTCCTGGTATAGCGCTCTAACTCTGCACCTAGTCTGCGCATCATGGCTGCTCACATTGATTCGTGTTTGGTATTCTGTTGCCTTAGGTCGCTTTGCTGCCTGTGACACCATCCGCTGATAGCCCCGTGCTGTCGCGTTGCTGGGACTGGCCGCTGCCCGAGAGTGTCAACAATATCGCCGGCCTCTCCGTCCTCTCGGATAGCACCATGCACTGGCAACGCGACGTGCTGGCCAATGTGCGCAGCAAGGAGGAGTACATGGCCTTCAACCTGGATACGCCCTCCGTGTTCAGGATCTACATTCCGCACCACACCCTCTTGGACGTAGATCTCTACCTCTACGACGGCACGCCCGTACGAGCCCCCTTCACCCCAAACTAACTCCTCCTCACACGAAACAAACTGTTCAACTCACCATCTTGGTTGTATACAGGGCCACCCTGGTGCTGAGCAGATCGACGCCAAGACCTCGTTTGGTGAAGAGAGCATCGCGTACAAGCTTCCCGCCGGCCCGCACTTCCTCAAGACCAAGCTCTACCCGCAGCGCCAGATCTCCCTGCCTTCGGCCTCGGATTGCGCGTTCTTCCCCGCGGAAGTGGCCATCGCGCCTCTCGTTTCGCTCACCAACAACCCGGCGGTCGGCCAGGTAACGAGACCACTCGCGCGTCCGCTTAAGAATTGGACATACCCGGCTGTGCTAACGTTGAGTAATTTCGGCAGACGTGCACGAACATGCCGCTCCCGGCTGCCCTCACGCCCAACACCGAAGTCGCAGGCACCTACCGCTACGCTCGCACGGCGGCGCAGTTCCAGCACAAGATCGCGCTGAACGTCACCTCGAACAGCGAGCTGATGCTCGATCTCAAGTATGACTTCATCACGTCGGCCGTCTCGGCGAGGTTGACGCGCCGCGAGAGCGCCACCGCTTCGGGTGAGACTTTCTATTCCAGGATTGGCACCAACCACGCCTTCCTCAATGCCGTACGTACCACCGCAACCTCGTTATTGTTTTGTTTTTCCATGTTCACCGTATTTGCGCTCATCTCATATCTCACCGCGACGCCCGTCTTCGGATCTAGGCCCTCGTTCCCGGCACCTACGAGCTGGTCATTCACGACCCCGTGCCTGACTTCAAGATCAACGAGCTGAAGTGCCTCACCTTCGAGATGACGTACACCTTCCTCACCGACGGGGTGCCCGACGAGGACTTTGGCTGCGACTCCTCCCAGCTGCTGCCCAGCAACCTCGATGCCGCCAGTACCTATTGCTCTCACCCACTCACCTCGCAGCTGCCATGTCCATACATTAACGTATGCCTCTTCCCCCGCCCCAACCCTCTCTAGACGGTGGCAGCGTTCCGTTCGGCGGTCCGCAGGCGGCCGATGGTGAGATCAAGATCTTCGCCGATCACGTGCTCATTCCCAAGGAGCGGTTCACCGTGAAGAGGGTGGAGTTTGTGAACCCTCAGGACAGCTACCTGCGCCTCTTCGCCCACAGCGACAACACCAACAACGATGTCGGTAAGTAGTTGGAACGAGACAAAGACCTGTTTCTGGTCCGTGTTTTGTTTGTTGCCGCTTAACTAACTCTTTCATGTCCACAACAAACACCATCACACCAGACTTCACGATCTACAGCAACACCAACAAGACCGCTGGCTCCCTGATCGGGTTCTCCAACTCCATGCAGAGCATTGAGAGCAGCCTCTTCTTCATTCCCGCGTCGACCAACAAGCATCTGCTCGAGGTGACCTATTTCCGGATCGACGAGAGCAAGCCGTGCAACTACTTCCACTTCGGGCTGGCCTCCAAGCCGCGCAGCAAGGTGTTGCAGGACCTCCTGTGTCCGATCAACGTCAACTCGCCCCCGGTCGACCTCACCTTCGCCGCGGGCAACGACGTGGATGTTCACAGCGACGACTACGTGTTCAACGCTGCGCTGATCAACTCCACGCAGCGCACCTTCCGCTACTCGACCCAGCTCAACGTGCGGGACAAGACCACGTTCTCGGCCGAGATCGGATTCAATTCCTGGCCAACGATTTCCGCCTGGCTCTGCGCGACGCCAACAACGTCGTGATCCACACCAGCAAGGTGCGCGGCACGTCGAACAGCAACTCGTACATCAACTTCTACCACTACCTCCGCGCCGAGCTCCAGCCGGGCACCTACCACATGGACATTGTCGAGGACCTGCTGAAGACCGAGCTCAAGCTCAACTCGAGCCAGTGCCACCGCTTCTCGCTCAGCGTCTCGGGCATCTCCGAGTCCACTCCGCACATCCTCTCGGTCAGCCCGCCCGAGGGCCGCAACCTCGACCCGAGCAAGGATCTCAACCTCAGGTAACCACCACCCGCCACCATTGCCGCGATCACACACACCCACACACACATTTTTCGTGCGGCGACGTACTGCGATACTAAGCTGCGCTCTCCACACCGCGCCACTATCAAACAACAGGATCACCTTCTCCGATCCAGTGGTGGAGCCTCGCGACGTGGCTGCCTACCTGGCGACGCACAACCCTCCGGACAGGGCGCCTGGCCTGGCCCTCAGGCACGTCGCCACCGGTCGCCCGACTTTGAGGGGCGCTGGCGAATGGGAATGGATTCGGCCCGCGAGTGTGCGGTATGTCTCTCTTGTGTGCCTCCAGCTGTTGGCGCCACCCAGCATTGGCTCATTAGCTCTGTCGCTCAGGTTGGACGGCACGCGGCGAATCCTCGAAGTGGTCTTCGCGCACGGCGACTTGCGTTCCGAAGATGGCGTACGCTCCCCGGCCCAGTTGGTCCTTGTGAACGCAACGTTCTCAAAACAACAGCTCACCTCTCCCTTCTCATGACAGGCGTTTGAGCTGCTGTTCAACTTGACCGACTTCACCACGACGAACGGCGTCCACTTTGCCAACGCCGCGCAGCAAGGCCGCGTCTACAGCCTGGTAAACCTGAACTGCAGCGATCACGGCCGGGGAACTGCCGGACCCAACGGTACCGTCGTCCCGCTCTCCTCACAAGCAGTTGATTCGCTCACATGTGAATATCGGGCGCACTGTCCCTAGGCACTGTCATTTGCCAGTGCGACATGGGCTACGCGGGCGTCAACTGCGACTCGTGCGCCCAGGGATTCCACTCTGTGGGCAACAAGTGTGCGGCCAACTTGCCGTGCACGCCTGAGTCTTGCAATGGGCACGGATCCTGCAATGACCAGCTCGGCTATCCCATCTGCACGTGCTTCCAGGGCTACGCGACTGTCGGCACCAACTCGTGCTCCGTGTGCGCTCAGGGTGCGTCGTTGCATGTGAGCCTCCCTGTGGGGCCACAACGTGTTACTCATCCCATATGCTCTCGCGTCACATGACAGGCTATGAGGGCTACCCGCAGTGCGCGCCCATTCCCGAGTCGTCGGACTCGTCGACCCGCTGCAGCGCCCAGCTTCTGCCGCGGCACCTCGACACCGTGGCCCACCTGGGCTACAACGACGAAGTCAGACTGCAGGGCTACTTCTACATCGACGTCGCCCACCAGTACGCGTCTCTCTTTGCCCACCACCTCCCCCACCAGTGGCCGCTACACTTGGTTCCCTAACGGCGGCCATCATGGCGATCGCTTGTTGTGGCGTGGGTGATCTCGATCACACAGGGAGCACAGCATGTACTTCAAGCTCGCCGAGGACTCCCTCTTCCGCATCTATGCCCAGCCTCACTGGGTGGACATCGACCTGTGGCTCTACCGGATCGGCAAGACCAAGACCGAGACGATCGCCAACGGTATAAATCGCACCTCCTCCTCGCAGTGGTTCCTGTTGCGTCCCACCCATGAGCTGCTGCTTACCACGTGCTGGTTTCACTCCCATTAGGTGGACTCTCGATCGGCAAGGAGGAGTCGCTGTCTCTCAGACTCAACAAGACGCTGAGCGATGACTCGTACCTCCTCAAGTTCCGCTACTTCGTGTTCAGCTCCAGCAGGCCCGCCTGCGAGACCGTGAACATTGACCTGGCGATCGCGCCCGAGTCCCGGGTGTACACGCGGGTCCAGAGCAAGAAGCAGACCTGTACCCATGTGCTCCATAACGTCTCGACCGCCCTGCCGCTGGCCGACCAGACCATCATCCAAGTCAGCAGCGACTCTGGTGGCTACAACTACGCTCCCAACCACAAGTTCGCCGTCGCCCCGCCCAACAAGCCTGCTGGTACACCCCCTCCTGTGGCCCGACGTGTGACTACGACTTTTCGTTCTTACGTCTGATGATGATGACGGTTCATGGGGGGTTTCAGAAACGAGGCCGTTCAAGGACCGTGGCTACTACTTCTGGAACAAGTCGATCTCGCTCAGCAAGGTGCCGGACAACCATGTGGCGATCCTGCGTGTCGAGGTCGGCTACTCGTTCCTGGAGAGTGACTTTGCCCTGCTGCTCGAGCTCGGTTCCAACACGCCCGACCACTGCACCGGCAGCCAGGACAGCCATAAGTCGTGCATCTACGGTTTCAACACGTACAACAAGAACATCCTCGAGGCCGTCATCCAGCCCAACGCCTACACTCTGTGGCTCTACCAGCCCGAACAGTACGCAACACTCGCTCTCTCTTCTTTCGCGCTCTGTGCCATTCCGCTCACTTCGCGACACACGCACGCACACAGGATGTATGGCGAATGCGCTCTGTTCGAATTCTCGCTGAGCGTGCGCTTCGAGGTGGACGACAGCAAGACCTTTGTGTGCGAGGGTCCCACGCTGCCGCCGTCGCTTAACGGCGTGAACTACATCAACCCGCAGACGGGCTACCTCCACCTCGCGGAGGACTACGTCGTCGACTTCGTGCAGTACACCTACTTTGAAGTGAAGACACCCACCTACTTCAAGGCCGCCGCCAAGCCCAAGGGCAACTGGTGGGGCTTCGCCCTCTCCCTCTTCAGCGAGAACGACACCGACTACTACGTGATCGCCGACGACAGCATCTTCCGCCAGCTGGCGCCCGGCAACTACTCGATCTTCATCTCCGCCTTCTCGCTGGAGGATGACCAGTACTGCCCTGAAGGTACGCACACGCACATGCACACGACACTCGTGCGACACATGGGCTCACCTTCCACGTGTTCGCTCCTGTCCCGCAGTGCGATTGGAGTTGGAGCTCATTCCGAAGCTGCTGTGGGACACCATGCTGAGCGAGCAGAGCAACGATCCCTGCCCGTTCCCCGCGAGAAGCGTGCTGCCCATGCTGCCCAGCCCTCTTACGGGCCTCGAGTACACGTACGTGCAGTGCCCGGGTGCATCGGCCACCGCAGTGTATGGCACGCTGGGCGGTGACTAACTATGCGTACTATACGTTTCTGAACCAGTTATGCGGGCGACACCCTGCTTTACGCATTTGGCACGGGTGACGTCAAGTCCTACACCATCGAGGTCTCACAGCAGACCAGAGTGATCGCCTCCATCGAGAGCAACTTCATCATGGATGACGTGAGGTACGACATCAACTCGTCTTTCTTCTCCCTTTCCTTCCTTTTTTTTGCTTGTGATCTTCTCGAGCCCATACGCACCAGAGAGCGGAAGCGAGTCTGGGCGCAAGGGGTTACTCTGTTCCCTTGTGCCCAGTTTTTTCAAAACCTTCCCAGAGCAACGAATCCTTGCAGACTTCGCCTCCTCAAACAACCACGGAGGAGAAGTTTGAAAGGATACTACATTTTACATTCAATTTCCACACCACGACTCCCATATCTGTCCACCATAAAGTGGAGTGAAGCCGGTACCACGGGCACTCGACTGACCACACTTATTGTGATGTTGTGTTTGTGTGCCGTTACAGGCTTGAGCTGAGGTCCACCGGTGGTTTGGCAGTCGTGAAAAGCCAGAGCGATTACAACCGCGCCGTCCTCGACCACGTCCTCGAATCTGGTACTTAACGACCCTTCCGCAATATTAGTAATTATTAGTAATTATCCTTACTAACACTACCGCTCGCAGGAACCTACTTCTTGGTCATCACGCGCCCCACGTTTGATGGTGCCCCGGCTCGTCCCTATCAGTGCTCGCCCTTCGACTTTGCACTGTCGGTGCTGCCCTACGGCGTCTCGAGCCGCGAACAGCGGAACGCTTTGGCGCAAGAGCAGCAGCAGACTCCCACGACCATTGCCGATATGGAACACATGAAGTGGCAGGTGGATACCGGCGTGGTCTCGCTCGCTCAGCTCAACGAGCAGCTGCCGCCGCCGCAGCAGGAGAAGAGGGACGACCCTGCCGCGCTGAGCCTGTCACCGTGTGTCGGCGTGGCCTTCGAGCAGATTCCGGCCACGCTCAACTCCAAGCGCTTCCTCTACTCCGACCCCGTGATCAACTACCAGTCGGACAACTTCCTGGTCCCGCTCGACGGCGCCATCCTCACCGAGCGCGAGATCCTCATCATCGCCAAGGAAGAGTCCATCCTCCGCATTTACACCGAGGTAAACCTTCTTCTTCTTCTTCTTTTTCACGTGGATCACTCGCTCATACCGCATTCCCTCTCGTTCGCGTCTGTCAACAGTTCTTCCGCCAGGTCGACATCGACTTGAAGCTCTACATGGCCAACGGCACCAACCAGGACTACACCCTCGTCACTTCAGCCTCCAACGGTATCTACAACGAGGAGGTGATTGTCGCCAAGCTGTTCCCGCGGATCCCTCAAGCGCCCGGCAGCAGCGCCACCTTACCCGTGCGGTACAAGCTCAAGATCATCTTCTGGAAGTGGAACCTGGCCGACCTGCCCAAGTGCGCCACTTTCAACATGGAGTTGGCCATCACGCCCGTGTCCATGATCGGCGCCGGCAGCGCTGCCTGTCCTGATGGGGGTACGTGTACCTCCACCCTGTCGTTGTGTGTGTGTTGTGTGTTGTGTGTGTGTGTTCTACGCGCGTGTCACGCTGGAAGTGCAGTCTGGGCGCAAGGGGCACTCTATTCCCTCGCGCCCGGTTTTTAATCTTCCCAAAGCAAAGTTTTCATCCTTGCAGACTTCGCTTCCTCACAAATATCACGGGAGGGAAGTTTGAAAGGATGCCACAATCACCAGTTCTTCTGCTTCTTCTTCTTCGCTCAATCTACCT